CGGCGCGTTAGGAGCTTCGTGGTGCAAAAGTATTCCAAATTCTTGTGGTCAGTAACCACATCGACGGGGGTACCGGAGCCTTCCAAGTAGTGCCGCCACCCTCGGAATGCTTCATAGATTGCTAGAAGCTCCTTGTCGTGGGTGTCGTAGTTGAGTTCCGGCGCCGTCAACGTCCTCGAACGAAAAGCGACAGGGCGTATCTCGTCATCCGCACAGCGGATAGAGATAATGCCTGAAATCGCGTAATCGGAGGCGTCGGTTTCGACTATGATCGGCGCGTCGGGAACCCAATGGGTCAAAATGGGGGCGGAAGTGAAGGCGTCCTTAAGTCGTTGGAAAGCCGAACGACAATCGTCGGTGAATACCCAAGGGGCCCCCTTTCGGGTGAGCCGGGTCAGTGGTACCACAATATCGGAATACTCGTGGATGAATCGCCGATAGAAATTGGCGAATCCCAAGAAGGACTGAATGTCCTTTACCTTACGGGGCTCGGGCCAATCTTGGATGGCCTTCACCTTCTCTGAGGACATGGCAAGTCCGCTAGGAGAAAGTACGTACCCGAGGTACTCCGTAGTCTCGGTATGGAACTCACATTTCTTCGGGTTGGCAAATAGCCCATGCTGTCGAAGCCTGCGGAGGACTTCCCGGACGTGCTCCTCATGAGAGGCTTCGTCCTCAGAGTACACTAGGATATCATCCAGGTATACGACAACACAGACATCTAGGAGGTCGGCGAAGATAGAGTTGACGAACCGCTGAAACGCCGCAGGTGCATTGGTGAGCCCGAATGGCATGACTAGCCATTCATAGGAACCATAGCGGGTTCGGAACGAGGTCTTCCACTCGTCGCCTGCGGCGATGCGCACAAGGTGGTAGGCGTGCCGCAGGTCGAGTTTTGTATAGACCTTCGCTCGGCTCGGGGCATCTAGCAGGTCTGCTATGCGAGGCAGCGGGTATCTATCTTTCTTTGTAATCCGATTGAGGCCCCTGAAATCCACGCAAAGACGGAGTGATCCATCTTTCTTGCGGACGAAGAGCACCGGCGCGGCGTGAGCCGATGAAGACGGCCTAATGAAGCCGGTTGCCAGGTGCTCGTCTAGGAATGCTCGAAGAGCCTCAAGTTCGGTCAGGGATAGGGAATAAAGGGTTCCCAACGGGGGGTGCGCACCTTCCTCTAGCTCGATCTTCAGGTCGAACTCACGATGTGGCGCCAGAGTGTTAGCCTTGCTTTTGCTAAACACATCGGCGAATTCGTGATAGACCTTCGGTACGGCTTCGAGGTCGGCGGGCTCGGACAGGGTGGATGAGCGCAGCTCGCTCGCTTGGGACGGGATGCTCAGGCTGAAGGTTACGGAACCTTCTAGTCGGGCAGCGCGGACAAATGCCGCAGGGCTGACTAACTCGATCAAAGGAGCCTGGCGGTCGGGATTACTCGGTGTGTCTTTGGATACGGGAACCGATGTGTCCGCTGGAGGAACAGCATTCGGCGATGGTTCAGGAGAGCTCTGGGAGATCGGACTGGATTGTTCAGACGTCTGGAAAGTTAAACTGCTCTTTACCCAGTCAATCAACGGATTGTATCGGGCGAGCCAGTTATGTCCAAGGACGATAGCACAAGAGCCATCCAATGGGGTGACAAAGAATGTCATCGGGGTAACATCACCGGTAATAAAATGGACGGGGAGATCGACGGCGCGGGTTATCACATTGTTTGTGGTGCCGTCGAATAAGCGGAGCTGCATAGGGGTCACGGTATAGGTCGGGATCTTTATTTTATTAATCAATTCTGTATCAATAAAACAGTCAGAGGAACCTGAATCTATAAGAGCGGAGAAAACAACGGAGGGATCACATTTTTCTGGGGAAAATAGACCGTCAGGGGAAAACATATGCGCATGGGAGACAGGAGTCCCGGAAGAAGAAAACAAAGGAGAGCCGGGGGCATTCCCCCTTGAACTAGGAAATCGACCGTCAATGGAACAAAAGGAAACCGGGACAGAGAAAGAATTGGGGCTGGAGAGGGCGGACGCGTTCAAGCGTACCTCCCTCTGCGCACGAACTGGTTGACCGCAACCGTCCGATCGTGCGTGGTCCGGATGGTTGCCGGCTAATTTTTTGGGTCAGACGACGAGTCTGACTCCGGTTCAGGCGTTGCCACCTTGGCTGCCCTAGCCTTGGAAGCGCTAGAACCAGCCTTGTAGCAATCCTTAGCTACATGACCGGCCTTTCCGCAGAACATACAGAGCTTATTATCGAAGCGGCGTTGGCGCTCTTCCTTCGTAAGCCTGCCATTTTTGTCGAGTTTTGCGGCGAGGTCGGGTTTTGGTTTGCCGTTGGACTCCTTGTCCTTTGGCGTTTTGTTACTAGGGTTAGGTGGGGGTCGGAAGGGCGTTGGTGTTTTGCGGGAGAGGATTTAGGCGGCGACTTGTCGTTAGCATCGTGAGCGGGCTTGTTGCGCCGCTCGGTCTGAACCTTACGTTCCCAGTAGCGGCCGTCGATATCTTCGGCTAGGTCTCGTAAGTCGTATAACGACGTGGGCTTACCGAAACGGGTGATCTCGTCCTTAATTCGATCCGGTAATCCGCGATAGAACATGGCGCGGAGTGCCCCTTCGCCGAAATTATCCAATTTGCCCGCATAGCGGTTGAATTCGATCACGTATTTACCAACTCGTTGCCCATCCTTCATCGTGAGGTTGAATAACAACTCTTCGGCCTCGCCGATAGGGTCGTGCGGGCCGAAGTTGCGCTCTAACTCGTGCACAAACCTTTCCCAGTCGTTCATCCAACGTGGTTCTCGACCTAGGCGATGACGGCGGAGGAGGTCGGGCTCGAATAAGTCGAGGGCCGGCCCTTTTAGGTATGACACCGCATACAACACCTTGTCAGATTCGTCGGGGAAGGCGTAGGCTCGAGTTTTGAAATTCACTTCGCATTGAACGAAGAACGTGCGGAGTTTTTTAGGGTCTGATCCGTCGAACTGGTCGGGTTCGCGGACTTTTTTACGGGGGGGTTCGCGGCGTGGAGGCAGAGGAGGTGGTGCTGGTGGCGGAGGTGTAGGGATGATCAGGCGGATGCTGCGGGTAGTGCGGGTTAGTTCCGAGATTGCCCTGGTGAGCATGAAGTTGACTTTATCCTTCGGATCGACTTCCTCGGGATTGATTTCCTCGATGTCATCCTCACCATTGTCTTGGGTAGCCGCAGCGGCTGCTTCAGCTGCAGCGCCTGAAGTCCTTCTCTCAGTCACCGGCGGTGGCGGAGCCTGAGCAGTTTCATCGCCCTCGTTACCACCCCTTAAGTCGTCGTCCGAGTCGCTTTTGCTAGCGTCTCGGCGTCGCCTTCTCGGGGTTGAGGAGCGTGGGTAGTACTCATCGCCCGCCGTAAAGCTCTCGAATTGTCTCTCCTCTGTCCTACCTCTTTCAAATGGCGTACTAGAGCTGTAGTCTCTATAAGGCGTCGTAGAAGGTCCTGCCGCAGCGTTCCTGCTCTGCGAGCGAGTCATACGTTGTGACATCGTAAGGGCGTCAAGAGCGATAGGGAGTTCGAAATACTGTCAGAACCGTGCGAATCTTCGCCGAGGGTAGCCGTAGGCGACCGAGCGTTGCCCGCTAGTGGAATAGGCGTCCTACACACGACCGAGCTTTAGCGAGGAATAAACCCCACCGATCTCGAGGCCGAGGCTACTTAGGCGAGAGAGCCGGGATTTCGGCTTCAACGACTCGAGGGGGAGCGTTGCGCCTCGTTCTCGATGCGGTCCCGATACTTCAGAAAGTCAGAGGTCTCACGGGGGACAGAGGTAAGCCTAGGGGGTGTATTCTAGTTGATTTCGAACTACAGTACAGGCATTAGTTACAAGCCGTATATAAGCGCTAGGGAACTGAATGAGGAATAAGTCGCCAGATCTCGCGGAGATTGCGGGCGGAGAAAAGAAGCAGGAAAACAAACAAAGAGCACGTGCTCAAGACAACGAAGGTCAAGCGTGACCTTCGCCGCGAGATAACAAGGTGCGGCGAAACATGGAACAACGGATCGCGGCGCTCTGCGCCGCTAGGTCGTTCAACGACAAAGAGGGAAGGTGTTGTGGAGAGGTGGCGGGAAGTGGTTAGACGGCGACGGGCGGCGAGCGGAGTGTGCGGGGAGTGTTCGGGCGTGGGAGAAGGTCAGGGAGGAGGTCGTCTGGCCCCGGGGAACGCCGGGTCGTGACACGGATCCCCTTTCCCCTCTCCCTATCCCCTGGTATCTCGCGCTCCCCTGGTGAGTGGGATCCAATTTGCTGCTTGCCTTTCCGGGCTCACGCTTTTGACCCGCTGCCGCTGCTGCCACCTGCATATTACTCTATCCCGGATTTGCTGCTGCCAATACCGCGATTCTCGACTACATTCCCATCTGCTCCAGCCCCTAGCTTATTTTCTTGTCTCCCTCCTACTCCTCCATCTCTTCTTTTCAAACTTTTTCACATCATCTGTTACTCTTTCTCTTCATTGTATTTCACCTCTGTACATTAGCTTCTGTTTGCTGTTTTAGTTGTTAGCGCTCTCAATTGTGGCTGTCATCAGTTCTAGTAATTTTCCTGCTTTCCCTTTGTATGTACGAGAACGCGGGTCAACGGGTCACGCGTCGCGCGCATGCGGCAAATTTCACATGGGCCCTTTGTGGCCATTGCCCACAATATTAGCCCGACTAATCAGGGCTAACAACTGCTGGTAGTGCGCAACGTAATCGCGTTCTCCAACATTTTGTTTCCGCTACAAGTCACGTTCTGATTTCAATACAAAAAGCATCTACTACTCGTGACCCAATCGGTCTTACGGAAGGGAACGGAGAGGTGGCTTGGTGGCTGTACTAAGGCGCAAGTGTGGGAATCGGACCGAACAACTGAATTTCAACTTATGGCGCAAATCAGCGCACAACACAGAATTATTAGCCTTGCGCCGCGGCGAACACGATAGTAGGATCCAGACCCGTTTGTGAGCGAACGGAGAGCGTCTTATGCTGCCCACAGTATCGTCATCAGCATGAACTGACCGACGCCACCCACCCCCAACGCCTCACCTACGGGGCGGCGCGTGAGTGCTTTACGAAGTATTCAGGCTCGCATTCACTTGCATTGCGCGCCAATGTACAGACAATCATGTGGCGGTGAGATCATGTTCCTACAACTGATTGAAAATCTCCTTTGTATCTCCACTAAGAAGATTATCTATTAGCCTCGTTCTTCCGATCCAAAGAGCACCACTGATGATGACAGGTTGACCTTCGGGCCTCTCTTTTCTGCGCCAATTCACAACGTCGAACGTGTCGGGGTCATTCACCTCAACATAGTCAAACCTCATCTCTACACCGGCTTGAATCGCCTCCTCCTGTCTCCTCTTGATTACTCCTCGCGCCGCGGCGACAACCCCCTCCCGTGACCCCGAACCCGATATTTCCTCCCACACTTGTCTTCCAGCGGTAAGAGCTTGGTATAGTGTGGGGGCAAAGGGACGTTCGATGGATGTGAGATAGGCATTGCGGGAGGATAATGCAAGGAAGTCCTCTTTTTCCCGTTGAGTTGGGACAATAATGAGGTTCTCAGGGAGGGGGTGGGAGATAAGAAGGTCTCGGACCATGCGACGTAAGAGAAGACCTTGTTGAATATCCTTTTGCCCAAAGTATGCTCGAGTTGGCTGAATGAAGGATTCCTTCAATCGCATTCCACACAAATGAGGCAGTCACACGCATCACCTGCACCACATTAAAGAGTTTCGTAACAATCTGGAATGTAAATAATCTCGGTTCAAGAAGATACCATCCTGCGAGCGAAGCATCCCTCACAGTTGCAACGCCCCTGAAAAATTTGGGTCTACTTTTTCCTTCCATTTGTTCTTCATACCCCTTTACTTGCACAAATGTTCCTTTCTGATCTTCTATGTTTTGGACAATACCGGAAGGGTACATGTCCTCGACAGTGGGCAAAAATACGGCACATTTGGGAGTTTCGCTTGAATCGATCGAGTCTCGTCCAACGGCTTCGTGAATCCTTCTCATATCACCATCAAATGTACGGGGATAGCTCGAAAGGTCCTCGTGGGGTGCAAATTGTGCAGGATTGACAAATATCGAGACAACCGTTAAGCTGTTTTCAGAAAGAGACCTGTCCACTTGTTGCTTCTGTGTTAAAATAACACAGTTATTTCATTAAGCACACTCCACCTAGTTTCATATGCCCATCTGTGCGCATGACACTTAGATCGAGAGAATCAGGATGAGAAGGGCGAACTGACCGTGTAGAGCCCCCATCGTTGGCACAAACCCTATGGATCGGTTGTCTAGTGACTGCCTCCATTCCCTAAACGCCTTGACAGAAGGTAATACGGGTATTTTTAATGAGGCTGGCATCGTACGCGCTGAGAACTGTAACTTATGCGGGACGAAGCGTTTGGCAGGGATCATCGCTTATTAGTGATTATTTGTCCCGGAGATCTCCTATTCAACTTTGATTCAACGAGTCACGTTTCCCAGCGACACAAACAGCGATCAACGTCAGGGAGCGCTGCTGACGCCTCTACCACACTAGGCGACGATCCGCGGCTGTACCAAAAGCGCAAAGAAGCCTTCCAAGGAACGCATACTGTGAAACTTATTTGAACCTGACACCGAGTCTGACTCTTCGGACACATGGACACTCTTGTGCAATACTGCGTGCGAGAACTTTGTTTTGAGGGCGACTACGGTATGAGCACACTCGTGGCTGGCTGGTTATTTTCTGGGAGATACTCAGTGAATCATCCTCCCGTGTTCGATTCGTGCTTAGGCTGTTCCATTTCTCGATTTAAGACTATTGTTCAAGAGCACTACGACGCACAAAATATTAGCACCTCCGACCAGCTGATCGACGATAATTTTATTCAGTATATATCCTCCCTTGTAATACGTACTGGACAGGTCTCCATAGGCCTCTGTCCTCCTCAAGTTCCGCAAGTCTTCGTTGCTCCCAATCCGATGACCTCCGCCAGAAAGCGTAAGAGGAATAAATCCATTGATTCGGAAGAAAACCAGGACGAAGGCTCCTCTCAAAGCACCTGCCCATTGCAGCCAATCGGTGGGGATGGAAAGTCCGCGCCTTTATTAGACCTCTGTACTGCGTATGACTCTACTCTGCGTATTGCAGCCAACCCTTCAACAATTTTCCGGACTTTGACAGGATCTCATGCGAGAGTCAGTGGGTGCTTATGGAATGTGTTTGGATGTTGACTAATTTAATCGCGGAGTAGCCCTCGAAGATGACAGACATGG